GAAGTGATTTGGGAAATAATAAACTTTGAATTGTGGGTTTATCATACACATTTGGATTTTAATTAAGAATTTCTACAAACCAACCGAAAATATTGTAATTGTGAACAGAGCAAAACTCAGAGAAAACAGAAGAAACAATAATAAAAAGTTTTTGAACATTAGCACTTAGAACTGTTAATTTTCAATAAAACCTAAGCTAGGTACAACAATAGATTACTAAGTTATCAAAACTTAGTCCTGCCATGCAAACCAGTATGTTAATAAAAACCTCCAACACCCTTTAACTGAACCAAAAACACTTGCCAAGTAGTGATGGGCCAATTATCATTTATAATCAAAAATTGATCAGTTTGCCTTTTCAAATTCCAATTATCGATTACTTATACAATTTCAAGGATGCATAAAATTTTTGAATATTTTGATAATATGATTAAACTCAATGTTGGAAAAAAAAGAGGCCACCAAACGTGGAGTAGAAGTCACTACATTGCTGTTACAAAAGACTCATTAGGGTGTTCAGGCCTATACAAAATATAAAACAATTATATCATCGATCCATTTACTCCATAACAAACCCATTATTGATTATAACTTTAACCAGATTGTCCATCACTACTACTTAGTAGCAAGTGCTTAACATATTTTGACAACATATCCCAGAAGGATTGTTTATTAAATACAAATTTAATCAAGATGCCCAAAGGCCTGTATTGCTCATTATTTTATTTTGTAATATGAAACTTAGCTTTACTTTTGCTTTATCAACAACGATTGAATTAAAGGTTCTAGGGACCTTCATGTCTAATGTGTCTTTACATATATATATATGGCCTTAGGCTTAGATCTCAACTCCTGTTACAACCAAAAGACGATGTCCCGAGGGCTAGGTACGACACTTGGAGAAGTCAGGGTTGCATTATGAACTAATCCCAAGGTGCAGGCTAGGCCCATGACAAAATGAGATATCCCAATAGCAAAAGGCACAACTAAAGCACTAGCCTTATGTGTAGAAACTTTCTTGTGAAAGTGGAACTGTTAAGAGTTATCCGGAAAAGCTTAGAAACAGCTTACTTTGTAGTTTTGTTTGCATGGTAATAAAGAAAGACATGCAAAACTAGGGTCTGATGTGTATACCAAGTTTGGTACAGATATAATAAATACTTTTCAACTAGAAAACTGTCAATTTTGTATTTTGGGGTATTTGTTTCTATGGTAACACAAAACGTTAGCAAAAGGCAGAATATGGGCGTAAGCCTGACAGGTGTACAAATACTCTTAAAGGAGCTTTAAAACAGTGAATTTTGTAGTTTTAGCTATTTATTTCTAAGGCAACAGAAAATATACTGAAAAATAGGAATTCCAAAAAAGGCACAACTATATGGTACTGCCTGGTTTTGTGTACCAAGTTTTGTAGAGATTGTGAATATTTTTAAGTTGTGTGCCAGAATAACCAGGTGTGATTTTGTTGTTGTTGCTATTTCCATGGAAGCAGGAAAAATATTAAAAAGAGAATGCCCCAATAGGAAAAGGCAGAACTAGAGCACTGGCCTGATCATGCCTGATTAGTAACTGGCCTGATAATGTACAAGTTCCTCTGGCCTGATAATGTACAAGTTCCTACAGATATATGAAACGGTTTAGGAACTGTTATTCAGAATGGGCACAGACAGCTAGACAGACCCCACCAGTTTCGCGGGGGATGAAAATACTTATTGCCAGGTATTTGTATCTGTTTCTAACAATAAAGGTGAGTATTCAAAAGAACATGGACGATTTCTTCTTTAATTTTGATATATGTTGGCTATGTTCTGAAATGAGAATACATCACTTTATGATAGCAGAATACATAATTGCAAAGTAAAGCTCTATGTTGGTAGTATAAAATATCAATCTCTAAACATACATGAGAATCATCAATAACGATTACCAGATACAAAACACCTTGAATAAATGACAATGTGACATACAAACAAAGACTATACACAGAACATGCTGCTGCATTCACCACCACCATCACAGTAGTAGGCCACGTGACCTAGACAGAGGACGTCACAGATCAAGCAACAGTAAAATAAGTTTACAGTGGGAATATGTTGATGAAGTGGAAGGAAGCTCAATTGTTTTCAAGGCCAAATTTGTATATAACAAATGCAGGCCCTAAGTTCTCAGCATGCACCACATTAATGAACTGCTCTGAAGAGTAAACATGAGGTAGAGCTTGTGAATGTTAGATTTGGACAGTAAGCGTTTAGTAAACATACTAAAGATAATGGTTTCTTTAATGTTAACTTTTTTGTAACACAGAGATTTGAGGAAAGAGGGTTTTTCACATTGTATCTAGTAGGAAGACTACCTACATGTACATGGTTAGGACAATATAAACATGAACACAACTTAGAATGCCGATGGTTTTGTCTGACATTACCTCTGGCCCTGTGACATCACCAAACTGTAAAAACATTTCTTTCTCTTCACATTGTAAGGAACTACTTTTAAATATATTTTTTTTGATAATGGAATGTGTATTAATATTCAAATTCAGATATTTCACATCCTAGGAAATGTCCCATTATATCAAGTGTTCGAAGTGTTCTGAGAAAGGAGTGTTTCCAAGACCAGAGTGAATCGACAAATAATTTTTTCCTTAGAAAAGTGAATAATACATTTTTTTAATTTGTTTTAAGAATTTGAGTAGAGTATCCTATACACCATATCATTTACAATTTTGCAAATTGTATTTGCTTTTGATACAAATTGACCCCACCCCCTGAAAACAGTTCTCTACATAAAAGGATGCTTATACATTAACATATATACCAATCTGCTGTACCTGTAAACGTTCTTACAAACTCTCATTCAGGTTGTACGGTTTAAGTTTTTAAACTTACATAGAAAATCTCGTTATGGTGAAGCGTCCTGGAAAGAATTGTGTAAACCATAGAATATGACTGTTACTGAAGAATCTATTTTTAACTTTCACAACTTTCGGGTATCAGAATGTAATGAGTCATAATTTCTATATAAGATATATTCAATAAATTTAGTTTCCTTAAGTTTTGTCCAAACGAAATTTATACAGACAGTGATACTCACTGGGGTTTTATACCTGTATCACTGAATAGAAGAGAAAATGTTTTACAAAATGTCTGAACGTGATCAATGTGTTGTAACACATACAATGAACTACAAACCAGATATCGTAATATGCATTGTCTTTTTAATCGCAGAGAAAAAAACATTGTCTCACAGTATCAATGAATATTATTGTGATTAACTAAACATTGACAGAGTTTTAATATTGACATACACTTTCATTACAAGTCTGGGTACCTGCAGTAGAGAAATGTGTAGAATAGATCTAGAGGCTATGTTCATGTCCGGGGAACTGCAAACATGTCTACCATGGCAACAGGAGTCATGTGACACTGTGGAGCGACCTACATACACTTGACAGGTGATTTTTTCTGAGTTTTTTGTTCACTACATTTCAGTAACAACAGTTTATATGAAACTGAAAAACAAACACAAACAATACAAATGTTGATGCCATGAATATTTTAATATTATGCATACAGATTTTCTTCTTCCAAAACTCCTGAAATAAAATATTTGAATGCATTGCATATTTAATGGCGACATAATCTCACAAGACCTTGGTGACATTGTGTTGACCTGACTGTTGACAGCTCAGTATCCAGTGCATGTTGCTGTATTACCATGGAAACAATGCAGCATGCTAGCCATACTTGGCCCCAACAGGGGCTAGCCCAATCCCTTACATGCATTGTCTATCTAGGTTAGAATAAACATTATCCTATTATATTCAATCCAGGTTCATTTCTATTACATAAGCTATAGAAATGGATAACGATTACAAAAATAAACTCTGCTCACAAAAAATCTACAGGTTTCTCTTGTTTCAAAGCATTATGAATCTTCAACACTTTATTGAATGATTGTTTATAGATCGGTATCCCTCCCTCATAGCCTATATATGTTAAGTAAAGGTACCAACATTTCAGCAGTTTTACTTGATTCATTGATAACCCTGTCCAAAATGTTGTAAGCAGAGGGACCACATCATCAGAACAATGTATAGACACTACTTCATTATAAACTGTCCAGTCTACTCAAAAAGAAAAAAAAGCTTCTTTTCCCCCCCAAATCTGTAGCACCATTTCACCAAAGATAAAAAAAAAAAAAGTCACCTAATTCATTAAAATTTGCATTATAAACATTGAGATAAATAAAGGAAATGACGAATTGCATTTCAAACCAAGTGAACCTTATAAACATCTTTATCTTGTATATACATTGAGCCCTCTCTCTTAAGATGTGAAACATTAACGGTGTAGTAAGAGGTAGAATGTTTAGAGTGCAAAATCTATGGCGAACGGCTGTATCTGTGACTTCAATTCAAAGAATGAGACAAGCTGTGACATTATACCCTAAATCATTATCTTATATTTTCTCTCCTTTTTTAAAACAAAAAAAAAATCCATAACTAGAAGTATAAACATCATCAAACTGATTTTCATTCAATTAAACAATACTTTTAATTTCTTTTTATTGTTACAATATAAAGATCTTGATAACTATTATCACAACAAAATCTGAAAAATGTTAAAAGCCTTCTTCTTTCCTGTAACATATAATTAGTTGTTTTTTCTTTTAAGAAAGTATGGAGATTTTTTTAGTACTGCAGTAACCAATCAAACTGCTAAAAGGGGAAACAACCTCTTTATGGCAACTCCCCTACCAAGAGAGACAACTGTTAGACCTCCCCTTACCAAGGGAGACAACTGTCAGACCTCCCCTTACCAAGGGAGACAACTCCCCAGGCATGAGCTCTCTCTACAAACCAAAGGCACGCACGCAGGTAATGATGAATATATAATATAATCAATAAACAGACATAGTACATACATACCAACTGCCGTCTCGTGGAGGGTATAAAGGCTTAGTTAAAATTGATAATAAGAAGGAGAAGTATACATTACCTGTGTGAGACAGACCAAATCCGGCCCACCTTCAATACAAGGGACACAAAGCTCAGTTAGTACATACGTACTCAACAGCCACTAAGCTTCCGACTCAAAATACTTCTACCATCTTATTGAGACAATCCTAAAATACTTGCCATTTTCAAGTTCTGATCGTATCTTCAGACACATGTTTTTTTCTTTTAGTAATTTTGAAAATCTGACACCAGATTTGTCAACAATCTTACTAATATATGCCGTCATTAAACCTACTTCATAACATTTGTTTTACTTGAGGTTTTTTGGTATTCCATTGTCTCCTTTGGAATTCATGTGCAAGAAACACTTATGGTGACTTATTTAAGTCATTTGTACACTCCTACAGACTCCTGTTCATAAGGAGTGACATTCTGGGAATGCTAGGACAAACACTTAAATATCAATATACCTATCTCCCTATTCCTTAACACAATTTTAATCATCCCTATTTCAGTAATAATGGTTTCTTTCCTACACTTATCATTGTCGAGCTAATGCACATTATTCTTAATTTTAGCAAGGCCAAATAAAAAATAACTGCATTTCCTGTTTTTACTAAAAAAAATATGATAAGGATAGGCAGGTTGGAATTTTTTTCTTTCTGGGTGATAGAAATCTGTAATTACTCCATTAGATGTACTAATTAAATATATGTTATGATTTAATAGAGTATATGACCAAAATGTATGCAAGTTATTATTTACTCCATATGATAAAATATACAAATAAAAAAAGAGGCCCAGAGAGCATGTTTTGCTTAATTGGATATTTATGCAATTATAGAAAAATTGTAAAAAAGATGTATTGAAAATGTTTTAAAGCAAATCAAGTTGTGATCCATTAATTTGTGTACATATGTAGCTCAATAGTTGGCAGACGAACAGATGGATGATGATCACAAGGCAAAGTTTAGAAGTATTGAATGAATAAAAAGTCTAGTTGATAAGTTATAAATGTTCTTATATATCTATATGTAACAATTAATTGGAAAAAAGCAGTCTGTCTATATATCATTTGTAATAATTTATCTTCTGATTTGTAAGATATTAATTAAACCTCCTTATGTTTCTGTAAGTTGTTCAATTTACTGCAGATTTTCTCAGATTTCAAGGGATTTTCTCTCAATGCTTTAGCCAAGTGTTTAACTGCCACTAAAACAGGGTTTAAAAGCATTTCACCAATGTTTAGCTACAGGAGAAAACTGGTGATACCATTGAAGATCAAAAGATTGTGACCTGGATTTCTCATTCTCAAATTTTGCAACAAAATGAAGAATCACTTATTTCCCCTAAATTAATGTCTGTTTCATAATACAACAAGTTGATCAGTATAGTGTCTACCACTATTCTACAGCTAGTTAATTAAAAAAATATTTTCTTCCTGCCCAGAAAATATGTAAAGCACATGTTAAAACATGTCCGACTTCATAGGTCAGCAGGGGAAAAAGTTGGTTTGGAAGCAGGAAACACAGTTGTTTTTGTATTTATTTGGCCTAATTCAGTGTGTAAGAGCTTGGTGAAATATATTTCATAAAGATTATTTCCAGGATAAGGAAGTATTACAATTTTTGATCTATGCTCGGAGTATTTGTACATTGTACTTGTAACATTTACAATCATCCCCTCTTGAACAGTGATTGTTCTTTAACCTATTTTGATATAAAAAAAATCTAGTAAAATGCTGTATTCCATTATTTACCAACTGACTGAAGTAACATATATACAAAAACACAAAATATAAAATAAAAGCAAAACAGAACAGAATTTTCATGAAGAAGATTTACCTTGGTTGTAAGGATATCCATTAAAAGCTACTGAAATCAAACCAAAAATTCAACAAATTAATTTGAATGAGAAATTTTACCTTGATCAAATTAACAATAATACAAGCTATTACATAGTTTCTAACCATTCCTTCTGCTGGAAATGTATATATATATATCATAATAATGTAAAATAAACAGCCATCAGCCACGTAAAATCAAAATGTGATTATTTCTGAGATAAAAGAGCATAGGTATATCAGACAGTCCTTCAAAATCATACTCTGCGACATTATCATATAATCCATGCATACATCTTAAAATGTATAATTTTATTGCCCATATAATTCTTCAATCTATTTTGGCAAAAGTTGTAATGTATTAGGTGTCTAAAGAGCAGATTCTTATTAGTTAGATCATGGATGATTTACTACATTTCACTTTGTGAAAACACAGAGAAACAAGCATGTCACACTTTCAGTTATTGCCATGAGAAGCCCAATCTCTCACGGTCCTCCCTTAACTCACGATCACGAATTACATAACTTGATATTGAGTATGTCATACATTGTTTTCAGAAAACTGTACTTTAATATTTCTTTTTTTTTTTTACTTATTCACATTATTTTACTATTTATTATCAAACTCCTTTGTAATTCATGAAAAGCTTATATTTCAATCAGAAAAGAACTCTACTATGTAGGTAGGTTATAGGTAGTATTGCAATTAGTTTCCAATTAATGATTATTTCATAGATGATATAAAAAATTACCAACTGATGCAAATTAAACTTAAGCATTGAATTTGACACCATACACTCTCTTTCTCTCTCTATGTGCATTAATTAATATGGATCATGTTCGTTACCGTACACAAGAGTGAACACTACAACCAGTAGGACACTACAACAAAATGCCCACAACATTGTGTTGCTTCATCCATTGTTACTGTATAGATAGAATAAAGCATGCAACAAAGAATTAAAACATTGGTTCTTGGGGGAATGGACAGGAACACTAACCATTCTAATATCACCATGGTAACGCTGTATGTTGCTAGTTAAAAGTGCACGAAAGTGAATTTAGATGAAAAAGCACAGTGAATGAAAAGTAGGTCATATCAGTCTACTGAGCAATCAACAAGTCCAAGGTCACCACAAGATCACCAGTTCTTATGTCCCCATCAGGTTTTCTTACCTAAGAGGGGTACACATGTATGTATGATCGCAAACCACAAATGTCACATAACCACATGTGATGAGTTTATGCTAAACAATTTTTATTTAAAGTATCCAGTACTGAACCTGTTACGTACACAGCATCTGCAAGTTGGCATAATAATCACCTTCATACAAGAAAAATAAAAAAAAGAAACAAGAAAAAAAGAAAATCAGCCTTGTAACCTTCCTCTTTCCATATCTTTTAAATACACTGTTTTAGATTCAAGTTTTTACTTTATTTCTGAAATCTTCTTGGCAACAATAATTCGTTGACAGAAAAGGTCCTTCTCTGGGATGGAGGGTCCTTTTGGTACAAACCTGGCAGATTGTAAATGATCAGGCAAGGTATAATGTGGCCAGCATCCAGATAATTACACTGCGCAACAAGTCACATAAGGAGATACATTACCTTGGTCATTAGTGGCGCCCCCTACAACATTTCCTCCACCACTGCTGCCTTGGCCATTACTCCCACTGTTTGTGCTTGTGGAACATCGCGTGATAGTTGACTTCATCTCACACTTGTAGTGTTTGTCTTTTTCAAACAGCTATGATTCTGAAATATGATGCATGAGTCTTTAGTGCTCGGACTCACGAACAACAGGCTAAACGGCTCTGTACCGCTATTTTGTTCTTACCTCAGAGCCGTGTCTAAGAGTTTGTAGGTCAAATTCTTTTAAAACAGGCTCATATTACACTTTACCAGGACTAGAAAATAATTTTAAAAAGCACTAGTCAGCTGGGCTAGCAGTTTCCAATTTTACCAGTCCATGTGCAAATTCCACTTACCCAATATTATTCAACATGATAAGTGACATCAAATATGGATGTTTGCTGGAAGACTCTTCACCTTGTGAACCTTCATTGTGCGAGTTCAATATATTTCACAAATGTGACCCAAATTTTTGTCAAGGTCACTCATTCAGATTTCAAACTTTAAACCATTAAAATTAACCGATAGGACAGTAACAAAAAGACTCTAGACCACCTGGCCTTGATGCACCCTGAAAGTTTATATTCCTTTCCATACTAATAAACTTCACTCCCTCCCTAAAGGGAAATGGGTGACTCATCGGTCTATATGGTCCAGACCTCATTCTGGGTGATTAACAGATGGAAGATGCTGGGTCACATCATAAGCTTATGGGTTACATAGCTAATCTTGACCTGCAGGTCTTTACAAATTCACATCACTGCAATCTGCTACAAATTGTTAGCTGTATCTCTGAGACCTAATATGTTACTGTTCAGTTCCCATTCCATGTTCTGGTGACAGCCCTGTTTACTACAAAGGCATAATCTAATTTGTGCTATTCCAACGGTTTTCATCAAGGGTCATGTAGAGATAAAAAAAGGTATGGAGCTGATTAGTTTTATATACCAGTATATTCAAACCTTGTAAATCCAGCAACCACTCTATATTGCTAGCCAGGAATGGTGTCCTCTCACTATCCAGTTATACCTACTAAGCTTCACTGCATAGGATATTAGCCATTCCTTCCATCTGATCTACACTTTGTTACATCCTTATGGAAAACATCATCAGAGAGATTTGTACACAAACAATGCCTCAGTCTCACAGGAAGCAGGAAGGAAGGGCTGGAAGCCAATATATCAACACTGATATATACCATCATTCATAAACAATAGTAGAAACTAGAAAATGGACAACATGAATTTGTGCCCATAAAAATGAGTTTCCAGATTTTTAACAATTTTCTATAAAAATAGTCATGGTGACTTTCTTGTCTCTTGGCATCCTGAAGTAAGGAATACACTTGACCTTTCTATGAAGTTTGATAATCAGAGATGTTCTTACACTTGACTTTTCTATGAAGTAAGGAATTATCAGAGATGTTCTTACACTTGACCTTTCTATGAAGTTTGATTATCAGAGATGTTCTTACACTTGACCTTTCTATGAAGTTAGGAATTATCAGAGATGTTCTTACACTTGACTTTTCTATGAAGTTTAAGGTGCGAAATGGGCCTGTATCGATCAACTGTTATATCACTAAATATCTGTAAACTTCAAGTGGAAATAATGATTATGGATGCTTAATATCACGACAAATTATAGATCTTTGATCATTACGCCACACCTTATCAATTAACATATTTTTTTGCAAAAAGTCATTCTACACAAGACTTTGATGTTAATCAAATCATTTTTCCTTACAAAATTTACATTTTGTCATGTTTAACACAAATTCAGAGAGGTAGAGCAATTGCAATGTTATTGGATGTTCATAGCCAAGTTGTTGTCGCACGGCAATTTGGTATCACCCAGTCTACAATAATTCGTCTCTTTACACGTTTGCGTGCCACTGGGTCATATTACACGTTTGCGTGCCACTGGGTCATATTCAGACTTTCTAAGATGTTGTCTGAATGTAATGATGGCTCAACAAGACTGCTACCGAGACTGCATCGCATACCATAGCAGGGTTTGACACTAAGGCCTACCTGATAGCCTGTGGCTGGTAGAGATCCAACTCAGGCTACAAAAATCTCCCATATCATCAATAGCCCGAACGGCTAGTGCATTTTACTCTGGCTTACCTAGATATTATATTATAAGGTTCTGTTTAAGTTGCTCATTTTGCTAGGCCTTCTTGTTACGAATTTTATCAACATAAGCATTACTAAATACAAGTCTCTTTTATATGGTATATATCTTATAAGTATGTTTCAAGCTTTTTACTGATCAGTATGGATTCTGTGTAGCGAGGTTCACTTATTCTCCCTTGAGGCCTTCTCTACAATCTACGGTAATAATATATACAGAGTAATAGCATTATATATGAATAAATTCAGATATAAGGTATAAAGGTCCAAAAAAATGTGCCAAATAATTTTTATGCTGCTCAGCATATGGAAAACTGTCTTCTGAAAATACCAAATCTCAGAAATTTTAGTGTGAAATATTAGTCACAACATGCTACTAATCGCTTGTGATGGCAAGAATCACTGTGCACCGACCATATGTCAGACCACCTCTAATGCGTCCCAGGTGGCAAGTGTGTCTTTATTGGATTTGCAGACATGGTCTGAAGGGGTTTGGGATGTATTGGTGGAGACGTGTAATGGTGAATTCTTCGCCAATGCATGCATGGTTGAGCGTGATAGGTTCGGTGGGGCCTCTGTAATGGTTTGGGGAGGCATCTCCCATGGTGTTAAATCACCCTTATAGATACTTAACCAAAACATCACTGCTGTCGGGTACAGAGACCAGGTCCTCCAACCACATGTCATACCACTTCTAAGACGACACAACCTCACCTTCCAATAAAGCAATGCTCAACCACATGTTGCCTCTGTCATGATTTTCTAACAGCAAACAAAGTTCAGCCTCTAGAATGGCCTCTGTATAGCCCCAACATGTCTCCCATTGAACATCTTTGGGATGACCTTGACAGACATATTCATAAATGTCAAAACCTGCCAAATGATTGCAGAGTCGACAGGGGAATAGAACAAGGTTCCCTGGAGACAAATTAATATTCTCATGAATTCTATGCATAAGAGAATCTGATATGAAGCATTGATTGGTAGGTTGACTTCACTTCCCATCATCATCCTGTTTTGGTGGTTCTGTTGCAGGATGCTTTGTACTTTGTAGATAGCCATCAATATGCCGATACAGGAATCCAACTCCTTCGGGTTACTAGTGATGTAGCTTTAATCGTCTTCAATAGTATCTGGTTAAACTCTTCAATCAGTCCATTAAAAGCTGGATGATATGCCCTGGTCTTGCTCTTTGTGATATTTATCAGTTGACTAATTTCCCTAAAAACTTCACTTTCAAAAAGG